TTGATTTCTAAATACCTTTACTTACTTTTTACTCCTACGTGGGTAGTCTCTGAAGCTATCAACAAACACTCTACTTAAGACAAAAAAAAAAAAAAAAAGCAAAGGCATCTTCTTCCTGACTTCCAGGCATCTCAACAGATCTTTTACTTTATAGACTCCCTTAAATTATATGATCGTGATCTGGGCTAAAGGTTTAGGAGAAGGGATAAGAAGTGGCAAAGAGGGGCTGGGGTTATGGCTCAGTGTAGAGTGCTTGCCTCACACATGCAAGGCCTTGGGTTCAATCCCCAGCACCACATAAAGATAGATAAATGAAGGTATTGTGCCAACTGCAACTACCAAAAAAATAAATAAATAAATGAAGAAGTTGCAAGGATACTGGAAATGATGAGATGAATAAAAAGGAATCTATGCAACTGAGGACCAAATTGGGATTCAAAGGATTATGATTCTCTTGCAGAAAAGGGTCTTTGAAGAGCAGACTTCATGGAGACTTAGCATGGAGGGTGTTCATTAAGAAGTGCCTCTAGGATTAGGATCTGTGAAGGGGGCCCGGTAGCAGAAATGGGCAGAAGTTGAGCTACCACTGAGAACTTAGGACAGCTTCAGCTGACTCTATAGCACCTCTGGAGCTACAGGATTTCTCCCAAGTTGTTGCTAAATAGGGTGAAATGGCAAGGCTCTTCACCTTTCCTTCCTAGCACCTAAGATCAATGAGCTCACTGAACATGGACAGCTGAGGCGATGGTGAAGGGGTTACAGGAAGGCTGCCTGCGTTGTCCACTCAAGTTATGTTATCAGTGGGCACAGTGTCCAATGCAGATTATAACTTCGTATTTTAAAGAAATGGAAACTCAGGAGCAGAAAGTAATCAGTCAGTCACAAATTTGAATTTAATACCCTCAATTATTTATCATTCCCTATTTCTCACTATTTCTAACAACAACATCAAAAAGCCTATTTTGGAAGAATGATCAGGAACTATTACTTAGCTTAAGGAATTTCCTTCAAAAGGAGAAACAAAAGGAATCAGTCCAAATAATTCTTGCTAGGTTTTTATAGAGAGGACTAAAATGTCAAATTCATCACTAAATTATGAAGAGTATATGAAATATCAAAATTTCAGATGTCCAGGTTTCATTTTTGTGTGGCTTTATACATGCTTACAGGACACTGTGTTTCTGTACCCTACTAAGGTTACGAACATGTAGTACCTTTATGCCTTCTCTTTTTAGGTCTTCACTGGATCTCAATAAGACTATCAGAAATCAGGGTTGGCACTAACTAGGTGTGCACTTCATTCAGCAAACTGACAAACCTCCGTGACTCTTCATTTTTCTAATTCTACTTGAAAGTAGTGAGAAATGACAGGATAATTTCCCACTTGAAATGCTGTGATAGAAATGGAAATATGCTATTTGCCCATATTCTTAAGAACTATGGTTTTATGTCATGCTTCCCTCCTGAATGTTTCAGCTACACTGACTTTCTGATCTGAGTACTTGCCACAGTACTTTCCACACTGCTTCCTCAGCCTGGAACACCGTCCTCAAAAATCATCATTCAGCTGGCTTCTCTTCTCCAAAGAGTCATCTCCTCCGATCTCCACATAATCTAAAGTAATCCTGCCCTGCCTAAGACAAATTTCTTTCTTATTAGCCTATTTTATTACCTTGCTAACAAAATTGCCTCTGATCATCTTGTTTTTATATTTAACTGTTATTCACTACTGTATCTGTAGTACATAGACTAGTGTCTAGCATGTACGTATGTAGTAATTACTTGGAAGAATGAACACAGACAATAAATGAATATTTAAGATTCATGATTTTAAATACACATCAGAATGACAATAACTAGGGGGAAAACCATATCATTTTGTATTTTTTGAATAATACTGAATAGTAGATGAAACTCCTATTTTGTATCCCAATATCATAATTTCTATTCAACAAACTCTGAGATGTTTATATATGTGAGCCTTCCTAAATGGCATATAATGTACAAAATAAGTGTTTCTGTTTCTACAATTTTTTTTTTGAGGTGACAGAAAAGACACATTCCGTCTTCTGACTGGTAAAACACTGTAAGGAAAAAATGTTCAAAATTCTTAAAGAGTAACTTCCCAACTTTATACTTAAGAAAAGCTTAGGACTAAATCTGTATAAGAGAGACAAACAAAAATAAGTCATAAATTAGGCCATTAAACTTACAATAACATTTTTGTAATTTTTGGCTAGCTTTAAAGCTAGGAATATAAGATGTCCCAAAAGATCCATTGAGCTCAGGAATTTAACTTCTGACAGGGTCAAATGGAATGTCCTTTGTGATCCTGACTGAAAATTTGTCCTTCTACTCAAATATGAATCATTTCATTAATCTAAGTCCGTTCTTGTGATGATACATTAAAAATTTTAATTATACATGGTATTAAATTCTTATTTTCAATAGCCCCTATTTTGAGTTACATAATTCTATGTATGCTCTCTTGTCTGTATTAGGAAAAAAAATTTTTTTATTTACCTAAAACTCTTTTTAGTAGTTCTTTCTATCAATTCTGTAGTTATTTTAGAAACTTGGTTCTTGGTAGAAAATCCCATGTTAATGCTCTCACATTATTTATTTTTATGTGACTTTAATTCAAACTTTTTTCAAACATTATTTTTTGAGAAAAGAATTATTAGGTATAGAAAGGCCTAGTCTAAGAAAGTAGATTTTCTTACAGAGGCCAGAGACAGAGTAATAACTGGAAGTGATGTCAGGATCATAAAAGCCCAACTGGGCAAAACTGCTTGGTGTCTGAAGAAGAACTGATGCAATAAAGTAAGACATCTTATATCTGGATGTATAGTGGAAATGAGCAACAATAAATTCTAGAATTACTTTTTAAATACATTTACTAGGTGAAGTTTTCAATAGGAACCAATCACTAACTAAAGTTAATGTTAGTTTTTCTATGTTATTAGGCAATTATCCTACTAGGGTGACATTCAAGTGTAGATATCCTGGAAAAATAAAAATGAATCCTTGAATGCAGGCAAGAAGTTTCAGTAATCATTCACAAAGAATAATTTTATGTCATATCATAGTTTAAGTGATCATATATGTTATTCACGTATGATGTTATGTTAAATAATGTAACAGTTCAAGAGAAAACAAAAGTGGGCCTTTGCCATGTTTTACATTTAGTAATGTCACAAAATTAAAAACATTTTCCAAAAGAAATATCAAGGTAATTAGTGATTTTACCCCTGTGATATTGTAATATGTTCTGAACAGCAAGGTTACTAGCCTCAAGGAAACAGAACAAGTACAAAGCTAAGTTAAAGGCAACTTTATTACAATAATTTTCCAAACTTCAAACGCATTTATTACTGCATTTAGATCTACTATATAATACATTATATTACAAGGCAGAAAGCATTTCTCATAGATTTTTAGCTTCCATGTACTGCCCAAAACATTGCTTCCTAAGGATAGCAGCAACACACAATAGTTTACAACACTAAGTAAAATATTTCTCTGAAATCTCAGAATCGTTCATATTACAATGTGTTTTATTATTTTCCTCTGATTTAAAAGTGAAGCAAACTATCTTTATATGTTTTAATACTTAATACCTAGAAATTTCCTATACCATAAAAATACCCACCAGCTTAGATATATTTTCTTGGTAGAAAACAGGATTTTGAATCTAACCAACCCAAAAGAACACTGTATCTCCCCATTGCAAACAGGGGTAGAATCTTCTTTCCATGTTTAGAAGCCAAATCTTGGCTTCCTCTTCTTCATACAACCCCCCTGAAGAGTGCCTGTTTTAAAAGATTCCTAAATTTACAATGGACTCTTATCTAACAAAGTCCTCTCTGTTTAATCTTTCCTCCTCCTATTTGTGTACTTAGAATAATGTACAATCAACTTTGACCATTCCATAATAATGAACTTAAAAGTAATCTCAGGAAAAGCAATCACATTTTAAAGGAAGTATTTTCCAAATTAGACAAGGACATTATTCTTGTTCATATGCCTCTGCTTCAACTAACCAAACAAACCCAACTTATGAAAATAATTTTTTTCAAGGTTTGTACCATAGTAACAATAGAAACAGATGTAAATCCTCTGATTAGATCTAGTGCCTTCATTTTTTTTCATTTGGTTTTACATTTGTGAGCTACCACCTAGCACAAAACATGTTCATCTTCTTATTTTCATGAAAACAGGAAATTGTTAGAAAAGTATAGAAAAGTTTCTATTTTTTTCATCAGGCAATTTTAATACAGATTTTGCTATCAAGTTGAAAAAGAAAAAGTGAATGAAAAGGTATGTGCTGACTGCTTGGGGGGGCAAGGCTCATAAATCACTGTACGTTAAGAGCACGTGCTGAAACTTCATGGTGCCAGTCACGTAATTTTGTGTATTTGGGACTAAAGACGTGAAGGGGTATCTTTTCCCTGTGGAAATAAGAGAAAAAAAAAAAAGAGTGATAGAAGAGTCATAAAAAAGAGAGAGGAAAAGATTCTACACTAATTCCATCATGCAGAAAACATGCCTTATAAAAGCTTAATTTCACATAGCTTTTTGTTAAATAGCAAAGATTTTAAAGGTAGAGCAGTTTTAGAAATACAGAAATTAATCTACAGAGCCCTCCTGGAAACATCAATTTTTATGCCCAAAATAAAGTGACTGCAAGACAACACATGAACTCATTCAGAGAGATATATTCTGTTAGCAAAGCATTCCCAATTACACTGTTTGGCCCACCTCTTACTTCAGTACTAAAGAGAATATGCCTTAGCCAAGATCCAGACAATATATACTACTTTAAAAAGCTGTTAAGTTGTACATTTAGGTCACACTAAAGGCACCACAGTTAAATGCTTAGCTTCTATTTGCAAAGACAAAATGCCATATCATTCATTACACTTGAAAATTTGAAAAACCAAATTGAGACCATTCATGAAAGAAAAGCATTCAACTTACAAAAAGATAAAGAAACTTACTTTGCCTTCTTTGCATTATCAGCTTCAGATTCTTTCACTGAAATATGAAAATATGCAGTATTACTTTGTCTTTTTTAACTTCAAAATCTCTTAAGCAATTATCTGTGTCAATATCAAACACTCAAGTTTCACAGAGCCACTAAGAAAAATTCTATACCATGTTCTATTGGTTGTAACTATTCAATACTCCTTCTCTTCTCTATGTAACTCTCCCAGACTAACATCTCATTTGCAGTACCCATATTATGCATAACTAATTTAAAAGTACAGTGTCCTAGGGTTGTTTTCCAGTAACTGCCAAATTAGTCTAAGTACTATTCTCTGGGGCAAAGAATATCATCCATTAGGATCCCTAGAAGATCACTTACTATGTTCAGTCCCAGTGATCTGGGCAAGGATTCGGAAAGAACGAGACTGAGTTGTTCCAGTCCTTGGGCGCCAGTCTTCAGTATCCTCAATCAGTCTCTTCTTGCTGGCATCACTATGAGTGGGTATGTGATAAAACTCTGTATTACGCTCCACAATGTGTTTTCTTGGTGGCCTAGGGAAAAGATTTTTTTTTAAATTATTTAAATATTTAATCCTCAATATTCCTTTTATATAGCTTGCTTATGCAAGTACTGTCCCAGTCTCAATTTTTTTTTTAAAAAAGTACCTTTCTAAAATAGGCTTAGCTTTTCTTTAATCAGTTAAAAACAATGTACTTAACAGGTTCATATAAACTAACATTATAAAAACATATTCAACAGAAACATTACCGTTTAGGTGGGGTTTTCCTTTAATTGACAGAAGAAGGCAGCAGAAGAAAGATTTCCAACATGAAGAAAAGGAAAGGAAAATAATAAGGAAAAAAGGAAACTAGAAAATGAAAAGTCTAAAGTAGTCAAAATCAAACAACTGAAAATTACTTCTATCATTCATCATATGCCACAAAAGACAAAGGTATGAACTATGATTTAACCACAGTTTAATATCAATATGCTGTAGAATGTGTTGGGAGTTACCAAAATTAGATCACCTCTTCACTAAGCCTAGGAACCAAGACTGGTTTAGTACAGGCTAAATCAGTAATTTCAAACATAATTTTGAAAAGGGTCAGAATTGATTTTCTTCATTTATATATACAGATCTCTTTATCCTGAATAAAACTATTGGGCAGGATTAGTATACTGATGATGATTGCGCAATATTAGAAACCACTGAGATATTTATGAAAAGAAAAGGATTGAAAGTATAGCTCTATCACTTTTCAGTGCATGATTTTAGTCAAATCAGTTTCACTGAGTATCAGTGTTTTCCACTGATAAAGCAAGAATATTACATTGTTCTGAGGATTCAAGGTAATAATTTATATCAAAGAGAGGTATAAACTATAGAGTTTGAGAACTCCGGCTTTGCTAAGAACATTCAGTTTTCTATTAGCATAGCATAAACACTAAAGAATTTACAATGTATATTATTTTAATACTTTAAGCTCTACTGAACATTATAAACACTCCTTGTTTCTCTTTCTTCAAAATAGGACAAATGCAAACAGCTGGAGTTATGAATTTAACATTTAAAATTTCAGAAGAGGAAAAGTAAGTAGTCTGCTTAGCAGACTACTGGCCAAAGGTCTATGTAGAAAAAGTGCTCTCAATGTGGTCAGGTGTGGGTGGCAGGATCTGCCAGGTTTTACTCACTGCTGAAACATCACAGTGTGATCAGCGTGTCAGGTGATTGCTATCATTTTATAACAGTAACACTATCAAAACTGCCCAAGTACACTGGAGTCTTTTCCCCACAAAGAACATGATAAAATTAAAGTCAGTAACATTGGCTTTAGAATCAGATCAAGTTGCAACACTAAATCCTTCACTCAGCGTGTTTCTTACAAGTTAGTTCACTTCTCTGAGTCTCTGTTTTCTATGAGACTTGTGAATTAAATCTTTAAAGGTTATTCTGAGGAATAAATAAGATTCAAAATGTACACAAAGTGCTCTCTACAGTTTCTAGCCCCCAATAATGATCATCATCACATGTTATTTTATGATGATCAGAAAAACAATCACAACATGTCTTCTAAGATGATGGATCATTGGCATATAAAAAGAACAGAATCAAAAATATCCATGCGCTAAATGGAAAGACATATTATAATTTATGGTAAGATTTCATAATCCCTGCAGTAAAATATTTAAAAGATCTTTACTAATACTCAACAAAATCTAGTCCTTTTTAAAATAGACAAAATTTTTAGAAACTAGGAAATAAGAGATTATTCCATAAACACATTGTCTTGGGCACATATAAAATAGCTCTTATGTAAGTACTTGAAAAGTTTACATTCAGCTTCTAAATATTATAGTTTTAAACTGCTCTACAATTAGTGAATGTAGTTTACTCCCAAATATTGCCAATTTCAAGTATAAGACTTTTTTTTATCTTTTGAAAAAGGTTTTGTCTATAAAAATACAAAACAATGTTGTCATACTAAGAACTAAAATACTAAAATGCCATAATTGAAGTAGTATTTAGCTACAGCATACTTGCAAAAAGTAGAATTTATCTTAGACTTTGTTGTTAACCATGGCTAAAGTCTCATATTAGTGATATGAATTTTCTAAACATTTACTTAACATTTTCTGGTTCTGAGACTCTGACTCTGATGACTATGATTAAGGAAAACAATAATTTTAATTTAAAATATTTTGAGATACAATATAAACTTAACTCTCAAGAGCAAGTAATTCATTTCAAAATATGGGCTTTCAAAATTAGCAAGTTCATTCAATTTTTTTTAAAAAAAATCCAAACTATATCTCTAACTTCAGTGTACACTGTCCAGAACATTTACCCATCCCCCTGAACATAGTTAGCTTATAAGTTTTTCCACTGCTAAAGGGTGGATGTTCCAAACACACCCAATGATTTATAAGAAGTTCTCTGGGGGGCTGGAGCTATAGCTCAGTTGTAGAGTGCCAGTCTCATATATGTGAGGCATTGGGTTCAATCCTCAGCACCACATAAAAATAAATAAATATATTGTGTCCACCTACAATTAAAAAAAAATTTTAAAAAAAGAAGTTCTCTGTCATGAAAACCATGATTCTTATGCTCCTTAACATTTTTGAGACTTCTTGTAATGAAATTTATATTAATAAGATTTGCTGGTGGTGTTAAGTTGAGAGCAAGATGAAAAGTTACAGACACACAATGATGAAATGAGCCATAAGTACTTACACAGTGCCAGGATTACTGAAGGAGGAATAATACACATAATAAAGACGTGATAAAGATGAGATTGATATTCCAAGGATGATGGAACACAAGCAGAGATGAAGAAAAAAGAATAGTAAGAGAAAAAATGAAATAGCAAAATTCAAAGCAATGAATTTAAGAGAAGATGTTATATAAATACCATGCATCAAAATAATCATGCAAATGTAGACAAAAATGAACAAATGTTAGTCAAAATTCCATCCTATTATTATTACTAGGATAACAGTTCTATGTTTTTTATCCCCTAAACACTGAAAATCATTGCATGTACTAATGCTAGTTCAAGTCTTCATGTTACTAAATACCAAGAAAGATCCACTACAAAAAAATCCAGATTTTTATAAAATTCACTTTAATATGAGTTCAAATTCTTAATAGTATTCCTAACAAAAGGCAGAGAATAAAACAGTTTGATAAAACATGAAGAAATAGTTCTGCTTACAATCACTTTTAAAATCAACAAAGAGAAAAATGTTTCAGTCTCATATCAGAGAAGTATAATACTAACCACCAGTGTAATCTCTTTACATACATTATCCCTATCATACACTGCCAGAGAATGTTACACTACTGGAAAAAATTTTTTTTCTTAAATGTAAAATGTCTGATGAAGATGTAGAATCATGAATAATGGGCTCTCTCTCTCTCAATTTTCATACTTTTCCCTGTTTCTCAGTCTCACCTCCCTCAATCATGAGCAAGTAAGTCCCAGTAACTTCAGAACTGGTGTGGGAACTCCACAGCTCTGTATTATCAGTGACATAATTACTTCCCAGAAAAGTATATCTGATTTGATATGCTAAAGGAAATGGGTTAATAATACCTGAATAGAGAGAAGGTCAAAACAATTCATTCACATAGCCTATTAAGGGTAGAATTGTTAAAAACAAATATATTTACGTTCCATTATGGATAGAAAACAAAATATAAACTTTGTATTATTTATCAAAGAACACCTTGTAGTGTTCTTGGATCCTCCAATTACGTTTAGTCAGAATAAATAAAAATTCATAGTGAGAAAAACTGACTGTCAGCTTTAGTGTTTAAAAAGGTCTGTGTGGCTATAATTCCACTTTTAATTAAGTTGACAAACTCAACACACAGGGTTAGGTTCCACTCAATGAGGGTGGGACACAGGAGTAAGTTGATCTCAACAGTTTGCCTGTCTATATTCTTTGCCAGTCATAGTGTAAAGCATTCTCTTCTCTTTTTTGCTATTTTAAATAACAGGAAAATAGTTTTGCAAAATAATCTCTCTGAACTGATACCAATTTTAGGCATATATATATTTAAGTATTTTAAAGCTGAGGGAAAATGTTTTATCTCAACATGAAGTTGCAGGCAGATATTAGATATCGCATATTTCCAATTTTACTTTATAATATAGATTAAGAATTTCAACACATGCTCAGAATAATCATAACTTGATTAGTGCAAACTTTAGTGGTAAAGGACATCAAATGGAGGGTTGATTGATTTTAATCCAAAGATGCCAATTTTAATGTCAAACAAGTATTTCCATATTGTTAAAAAAAAAAATGTACTCAAATGGAATAGTGCAGAGAAGTGGCAAACTTATCACCAAAGCAGCCAGTTAACTTGGCCTTAGTTGTGTTGCCCACTTCACCTTGTTCTAGGAAAATTGTAATCTAAAGAAACCTGTGTTCCTCAATTATGAAATGAACTACAAATTTTCTGTCCTTTGTTTTTTTTTTTTTTTTTTTGGTGGTATCAGAGATTAAACCCAGGGGTACTTATCTACTGAGCTACATCCCCAACCCTTATTTTTAAATTTTGAGACAGGGTCTCGGTAAATTGCTGAGGCTGGCTTTGAATTTGGGATCCTCTGGAGCTGCTGGGATTACAGGCATATGCCACCACACTGGGCCTCCTTCAGACTTTTTGTAAGGGGATTCATTTTTTTTTTAAATATTTGTAGTTGCAAATGGACACAATATTTTTATTTTTTATTTATTTTATGTGGTGCTGAGGATCGAACCCAGTGCCTCACACATGCTAGGGAAGCGCTCTGTCACTGAGCTATAATCCCAGCCCCAAGAGGACTCATTTTTAACATATTTGAAGGCACTTTGAAAACTATGTAGACACTGATTTGTTGTTGGGATAGATGCCTCTATTACTCAAAAACAAAACAAAACAAAAACAGAAACAAAAAACATCAATTCACTTATAAGCTTTTGATTCAACTCCATAGTCACTATAAAAACAAATACTAACTCAAACTAACAAAAAAAGCAAGTCAAAAGCAGGTGATATAGTGGAAGGCACATCAAAATTTGGCTTTAAATGACCTAAGCTCAAATCTCAGCTAATCACTTACAAGTCACATGACTTGAGAAAATTATGTGCTCTCTTGATATTCAGTTCTCATGAGAATTAGATCATATAATATATTCAGAGACACACAGCACAATGCATAGAATACCTAATACACAATGCATAGTAATACCTAACAAATTAATGACTCTGAATCTTGAATTTTTAAAAATTATATTTAATCTGTAGGTTTAAATTTATTTTTTTCAAGTTCCATTGTCCCCCCTTTCCAAATCAAATTTTTTGTTATACTGGAACCCAGGAACTAACAAAAGTTGTTGTTTATAAGAAGTTAACTTTTAAAAGACAATAAATCAGGGTTTGATAATGTTTTATTATACACTGGTGTGTGATATTCCTATACATAAATAACATGAAACTATACAATCAATGAGACCATAGCTGTTTAGAAAGGAGTTCTCTAATAACTCAAAAGTTAATTCTGTTGGGTATGTCTAAGTTAGATATCTCATATTTCCAATTTTACTTTATAATATGGATTAAGAATTTCAACACATGCTCAGAATAATCATAACTTGATTAGTGCAAAATTATTTTAAGTTCTTATCTCATGTGATTTTTCCTTAGCTTTAAAGCTAGCTAACTACTAACCAGTTTTATGTCAATATTAAAACAGCACAAAAACAAGTTTTAAAGTTATACCATAGTGATTCCCAATGCCTATGTTAACTCTTAGTGACATTTATTAAACATGGCAATTATCTCTCAACTGATTTCAATAGTGTATTGGCTGTCTATCATTCACACATATAACTGCACATAGAAATATCAATATCTTCTAGAAACATTTACTCAATTAAAACTTCGAGAGAAAAAAAAAAACACCAAAAAATTTCTTGGAGAACTTAATCTAGGAAACACTAACTTTTAATATTAATTCAGTTTTACATATGCTGTTTACTAGTGATACAAATGTTTATGCTTTTTCTTCTATCTTTATCTTCTAACAGTTTTGATTGATATAAATTACATTCCCCCAAGCAATGCCTCTTTTCAACCTTTCCACAGCAAACTCCACATATATTTAATGACATAACTTAAACACTACTATTTATTACTATAAAGCAATTCACCACAACATAGCAATGCAAACCAAACTTATTCAAAACACTATATGTGGTTATTTTAAATTATAGCTCTTTTGCAAAATTTAACTTAATTTTGCAAAAATATAATTTAATTTTGCAAAAATTGGGCATTCATGCTGTTTACTCATATATAAATCACCATATTTCCTCTCCAGTAATGTGGATACTAACTTTGTCACGTGTGTTTTCTGCAAAAATAAAAGCATTTAAAAATATTACTACTACATCATTATTTTTTGTATATTCCAAGGCCAGGTTCTTCAAAACACCATATAAAAACTGTTAGAAGAAACTGCAGTCCAACCACATTGAAATTAATATAGGATACCAGAGAGACTTACCTTCAGAAAGCAGTGGCACATTATAATGCAAGGACAAATGAAAAGGGAAATTAGTTAATTACTTGACAAAAAACAGCTTTCCTTTTGCTCTGGAAAATAAAAAGTCCCATTCTGCTCTTCAGAGTAAGCAGAGTAGTAGAGAAAACAGAATGCCATGACCAATAATGTGTACATGTAGAAGAAAGATTTAAACTTTCTGAAGTGCCTTAATCATTATTACTTGTAAGAAGGAATAGGAGTGATTACCTAGTATTATTAAGAAATATTCTATAAATAGCAATATAATTTCTAGATTTCATAATATCAAGATGAATTATTAGCTAATTAATTCTTAGTAATGATGCTTAATTGAAACACTCTTTTTTGTGTCTACTGTTTATCAATCCCATACAAATTTGGGAGGCAAACTAGATAGCCACTTTAAATCACTTTCAAAAACTCAGTCTTCGTGATGCCTTAAAGAAAAAGATAACTCAGGCATTTAACTCTATATCCTTCTGAATTTTTAACTATTTAGTCATGGGTATGGATTATTTCTAAAATAAGAAATAATTAATAAAAAGCAACAACTCTCAATATTATAAGAATTTTATTCTGCCAACATAATAAATATCTGGGAAATAGAAGAGTAAAAACTTCGACACTTAAGTATAAAAAGTACTTGACAATATCCCCAAACATCTACTCTCCAAGATGACAAATCAATGACTAATCAAGGATGTGATTTATTTTTTATTTCTCTAAACATAGTGAGAGAAGGAGCATTACAGATTTGTCTTTGAATTTCACAGATAACACACTTTTGTTTTCGGAATAATCAAGTTTTCCTTGTCCTAACATCTGGACAACATTTGAGATCAAGTTATTTTTAAACACATCCAGTTTGCAAAGGCAAAGCAGTAATTTGCTTGTTAATGATGCAAAATATGTAATAATCCCTTTTCTCCTAAATTTTGCACAGTGCTGAATGCCAGGCATGTGCTTAACGAACACCTGTTGAATGACTGAGAAGCTACCATAAGGCCCTGAAACTACATCACTTCCTTGTTTTAGCTCAAAAATAATGTTTTAAATCATTTCAAATTTAACCATCAGAGTTGTGTTAATTTATTAAGCACAAAATTTAAACTTGTTTTAAATCCAATCTAAAACCTCAATCTGCTTTTTACGTCTACAATTTTCTATTAAGAAGACTTTCTAATACATTTCAAGATGTGTTAGGAGAAAAGACTTTTGACTTTAGTGGGCTTTTTTTTCCTACTGAACCTGGAATTTAATAAACAATAAACTTCTGTTTCAGTTTCTTTGTGAGGCTAGCATTTAACAGGCAGCATCTTTATTTTCAGGTTATCTACTCTGATTATTCCAAAATTTGTTATCTTAAAATGGGCAGGGAAAAAAAAATTTTACAACCAAACACACCTCAACCCCATGTACTGTTCCTCTTCTTCACAGGAAAGAAGAAATGACATTATTTGAAAGACACTAGTTTTTCTCAACATACAGTTTACTGAAATGTAATTTTATAACTACGGGGTTCAAATGAGTTAGTAACTTAGACCATTTTTAAGTGTACACCCAAAAAGGAAAAATGAGGAGTGAATTTTCAAAATCTTCTGCTAATCATTTCATATTTAATGTCCATGGGTTTAAATTCATTTATTTTACAAAAATCTTTATAATACCTCTGATGCAACCTAAAAGGCCCCCTCTTATTTTTCATTACTGTTTGCTTTTAAAGAAGAAATCAAAACTTTTGAGCCACTCACAACCATAAAGCCATCTGTACAGCCCAGTAGCTGTTCCTGCAGAGCTCCTGCACTCTCAGCAGCAACCTGGAACCCTGCCATTTTCTCTTTCAAGTTCCCAAGTTACCATGGCAGCAGTGCTGCAGAAAGCATTGCTTCTTCATTATGTGAATTAACATTCTCGGAAGGGATTACATCTAACAGAAAGGATCTATCCACACAATCATTTTAATTATATTTCCCTGGGAACTGACATGGGAGAAAACCATCATGTGTACAAATTATTTTCCTTTTAATGTACATTTTTGTCAAATAAATAAAAATCAAAATGATTTTGTGTAAATGGCTTTGCTTTAAGGTGCCTTCATTGAATCCCTAAATAAATGAAATGATATAAATTACGGTTGCTGAAATTACAACTATGGGGCTCAAATGAGTCAATAACTTTGACTTTTTCAAAGTGTATCCTCAAGGAAAAATTATAAGGAAATAACAAATTTTCAAAAACTTCTGCTAACATTATATATCTAGTTTCCACTAAATTTTTCATTCATTTTTTAAAAAATGTATAAAATGCTTTGGACACTATCTAAACATCCCTTGTTGTTCTGTCCCTACGATTTGCTTTTAAAGAGTACTGGTCCATGCATTACTTCATATAGACATGTGTCAAAAACTGATTTGTTTTCTATTTTCTACACTACTTCGTGGGAGATAGGGCTTCTTAAAAACTCCTCATTTCCCCTTCCTATAGGGTGACATACGTAAGCTGAGAACAATCATAATCACACTGTTTAAGCTTTTGGTGAGCAATAAAAGGATGGAAAATTTGAGGAAAAAAGATTCAAGATTTTCCTTGCATTATAAGTGCCAGCTGCGCAATGTTGTGCCAGGAGGTGGAAGAAGAGTCACACAGCATGTTACACAGTTCATAACACATTAAAATGTGGAATTAGGTTTTGATTAACTTATAATTGCTTGGCAGACAATGTTGTATATATGTAATATAAGGCCACATGTTAATGAAGCAAACATAACTCCACCTTCCTTAAAGTAACAGCTGAATGTGGGAAAGATAGATTAAGAGTTTCTTGGAGATTACCTAAAAGAAGTATTCTGATAAGAACAGAAAGCCCCCTTGGTCACCTACCCATTTTGTTGCTTAATGTCACCCTGGGATCCTCTTCTCTGTCCCTCTGCTAGCTCGTGAGCAGTCTCGGAACACACGCTGGTGACTGTGGGCTGCCGTGGGACATTAACTGCAGTTTTACCAGTGCTCAGTGCAGATGAACACTGGTCAGCACTAAGATTGGCGTTAACATGCAGTCCAGATGCAGAGAATGGGGGAGGAGTGACAGCAGTCACAGGTGGAGGAGAAGCATGTGATGAAGTGATTGCATGAGCTGGGGTGAAGGCAGACGATGGTGATGGGATGGATGTGACTTTTGGTGAAGACACAGAACCAAAGGGCCGTGGTGCCTTATTGTAGGCCATGTTGGTTGTGGAAGTGACTTTGGACACAGCAGGAGATGTAATGGGCACAGGTTTAACTACTTCTTTAGGTTCTCCCTATGTGAAATAAAAATAAACATACACAAAACACGCCAATACATGCAAACATAGTCACTGAAAAGAATGCACAGCTGATTTTTAAAAAGACAAACACAATTATGTTAGAAGCTCAAATATCACACATTTCCAGTAAAAACAATGATTTGATATAGCATAACATGCACACTAACTGGTCCCAGCATGCATAACACGGAGGTGTATACTAAGCATATTTTTATTTATAAAAATAAAAGGAATTCCAAAATATTTAGTAAACAGCAGGGAAACCATCAAGAAGCATCAAGGCCATCTAAGTATCAATTTAGCTACATTACAAAGGAGAAGTTTTTAAATACCCCATAATAAACAAAACATTGCTAACTGAAATGTTTTTAAAATAACCAGAGCTTCAATTATAATTCCATCTTTCAAACATGTTTAATTTCTTTCTACAGTACGATTACTTGATTCATGCCGAAGCAGCACATTTCAAACTCTCCCATTTAAAAATGAAGGATGAAATAATTTTCATCTAACTCAGAAACATATACATTCTAATTATCTTACATAAAGAATTTTTTAAAAACTTAAACAGATAAACAAACCTAAGTCTTTCCTCCTATAATCCACGTGTTCTCTCTCTCTGAATGTTTTAAGATATGATTCAGAGATAGAATTCTTTCCCTTTTCCAAAATAAATATTTAATAGTTTCAAGAGGAAAAAATTATCTTAGATATTTCCTCATTATCATCAGCCAAAGAAAAAAATAACTCGTAAGAAAGATCAATTCTTGGGATTGGGGCTATAGCTCAGTGGTGGAGTCCTTGCCTTGCAAGTGTGAGGCACTGGGTTTGATCCGCAGCACCACATAAAAATAAATAAAGATATTGTGTCCATCTACAACTAAAAAATATTTTTTTAAAAAAAGAAAGATCAATTCTTCCTAAGATTAACAGAATTTATCAATCTTTATCCCAAAGCATATTTACTAATGTTTTTCAAAAATCAAATTAAGCCTATATAATATTCAAAAATAAATCTCTATTTACCATCTCAAAAGAAAAATTTTAAGAAAACATACAATGATAACCCCAATATGTTTAATTTTAAGAAAAAAATAATCTAAATGAATCTTAACAACAAGAAAGCTAATTGAGAAAAATAAGTAGCTTAAGGCCTAAGTAAATCAATGTAATAAGTAATTCAATGAAAAGGAAAAAAAAAAAGAGAGAGAGAGAAACTTAAAAAAAATATAAATCAAATGTAGATGAATAATGGTTTGGGACAATTTGAGAATGTATTTGAGAAAAAAGGGTACTTTCCAATAACCTAATTCAAGAATATTCTGAAATGTAATTTTTGGTTGTTATTAATGATTTATTATGATACACATTTTGAGTAATCACTTATTTTTCTTAGCAAACAAATGAATAAAGATGGAAAATTTTAAATTAAATATAAAAGAAGAAATTTGGATATAAATTATTAATAACATTGGCTTTAGAAATAACGTTTTAAAATAAAGGTACAATTACACATGATAATTCTGCGTGTGTTGATTTCCATTTTCCCCTTCTTCCTTTTTTTATTTTTTTGGTACCAGGGACTGAATACAAGGGCGATTTACCACAGAACCACATCCCCAGCCTTTTTCATTTCTTATTTTAAGAAAGGATCTCACTAAGTTGTTTAGGGTCTTATTAATTTACTGAGGCTGACTTTGAACTAGTGATCCTCCTGCCTCAGCCTCCTGAGTTGTTGGGATTACAGACATGTGCCACTGTGCCCAGCTTCCTCTTCATTTTTAAGAAAGAACATGATGGGAATTGTAAGACTATAAATTAAATGTCTGTATGGCCTGAGACCAAAATAGAAATTATAGAAACTCAGGAGGAACAATCATGTGGTAACCTACTGATGCTAGATTAGAAACGCACCTTTGGAACAGAAGCTGGTTCAGGCTTGGGTGTTGCAGATGCTCTGGGGGAAAAAAGAAAAAAAAAAAGCCATGAATTTTTGCAAACCTATAATTTCTTATTAGTGTATAGTTTATTATAATATATCGATTTATGGTATATCACCAGAATTTATATTTTCATAATTCCTAGTTTTGTCTATTCATAATTAAGTCAAACACTGCAAGAACCAACGTCCTTACACACAAAGTACTCATTAGCAGTTCACTATAAACTCAAATGAGGAAAGATAAATATCAATCTTGTTTGCTAACACCCCTTTTTCAATCTTTAAATTGAGGCTATTCCCCCTCTTAAAGCATAAGGTAAAAACATGACACCTTAAACCTTGAGAGGTTCCTCAACCATCTAAGTTGAATCTTAATCTTTAGCAGTAACTGCCTTTTCTCCTAATATCCATGAACATAACCACAGGGTGCTGGGTCTGTGAAGATGATTCAGGTTGAACTGAATCACTGAATGAGTATTTTGTATTTATATTCTTAAGTGTTTATGCAAATTAAAGTATTTACTATTCTAAGAAATAAATAGTAATTTCTTCCACTAGGCTATACTTTTAATAAAGGCAATGAGAATGTGCCATCTTTAAAACTTCGCACAGTGCCTGGCATGTAATAGGTCATCAGTAATGAGTGTTGAAGGCAGAGAGGAAAGACAGACAAAAATCCATGCATATAAATTGAATATTTACAAATTCCAAGTGAAACTTTATTTTTAACATATGTTTTCTGGCACTATATACATTTTGGTTAGTGTGAACTAAACAGCAACAACTGGTTTGGAGGAATTATATAATCATGACAATAATGAAAGTAAAAAGTATTATTGTCCTCATTTTCAAATGAGAAAATTCAAGTTCATGTAAACTGCTTTGGAAGGCATGGAAGCCCTCTGTTTTTATACATTACTGTGTACTAACTGTATTCAACTAACACAATGACTGAGAAAACCAGGGATACTTTACTCAATGCTAAGGTGCGGGTTACACTTAATATGCCAGAAGCAATTACACTCCTCTCATATCAGACAGTCTGAGGATAAGCCATAAGGTGCATAATTTAAGAAATGTAAGCATAATAGGTAAATACTATGTGATAATAATTTTATTCTACAAACCAAGAGATTGTTTTACTTAGAAAGACAATAGATCACAATTAAAAGACACTAGGACAGGATATTGGATCTCCATGAGCATAACCTAACAATGAACTCTGATCAACACATTCAGCAGCAACTGAATTTTCCAACAACTACTAATTTGGTTCGCTAGGGCAGGCACTAACTGAACAATTGTCTAACCTAATGGAAGGCCACAATGGATGCTAACATTCAATTACAGCAATAGGTTCTACTCTGTGCAGTTGCACAACTTTCCATGGGTACTCAGACAATTTCTCTTAGCTGAAAGGGTTATTATAACAAGCAAAGGAAACAAGTTCAAGTACAGAACAGTGGAATCTTCCTTTCATTGAAATTTCACAATACGATGTAATTGCAAAGGGTTTACTTATTAAAACCACCCAAAACATTACTGAAAGTTTGCCAAAGCATAGAAGCCAGTATTCTTTTTCATCTGAACACTTTAAAATACATGGAGCACTTCTAAAAACATAAAAACAATTGGTGAAAAAGAACATGATATTTAACAGTTGCTAGATCTTTAAACATGGGATAAAATACATATATTCTATGTCTAGAAAAACAAACTTCTTTGTTTTTTAGAGCTGTTAGCTCTAATTTAAAGAGTATAAGCAACAACAATGCCCCAGAATGGTTCGTTTCATTACATTTGGAATCCAATCAATGTATTTTGTTCTGAACAAACAGAATGAGTCCTAACATAATTTACCATGTAAAGTTCTACAGAAATACAGTTTGAAATTTTGAATGCACACAAAAAATTTAAATCTGCAATTTAAATATGGGCCCAATTTGTGTCCTGATAAAAACGTCTTAAAAGTGCAATGACGTGAATTAAGACAGGGAAAGAAAGGGCAACATGCCTTCAAAAACCTAGGACTGAACTCATTACACAAACACCCTTTTCGAGGAGGGGAAAAGAGACAGGCATGTAATTAAATGTCAAATAAAATTGTCAACACTAGATGTAATAAAAATTAGTTTTCTTGTTTTAAAAACTAACCACCAAATGAGTCACAGAATTATTAAATTCTGAAAAGATTCCTTACTATTTATTTATTTATTTATTTGGTGCTTGGGATTGAATCCAGGGCCTTATGCATGCAAAGCAAGCACTCTATCAACTGAGCTATGTCCCCAGCCCCAGGTTCCTTATTTTATTACATGGCAATCAGGGGGTTGTTAATACTTCTGTATGAATATTTATAGAAGTTTATAATTTCAGCAAAATTTTGAACTCTTCAGTTAAAATGGATGCTAACATTCAGTTACAGCAATAGGTTCTACCCTGTGCCGTTGCACAACTTTCCATGGGTACTCAGACAATTTCTCTTAGCAGAAATGTCTTAATTTCTTAGCTGAAATTCTCTTATCTTTACTCCAAAAAGTAAAATAACACATTTTAGTGTGTTACTTTACTTTTTGGAGTAAAGATAAGTTAAGTCATTCACATTAAAAACATGTACCAAAATCTGTATTGTAGTAGTTATATTTTAAAAGATCAGTAGGCTACAAAAATTTTAGACATGAGTATAATTAGACTTTTTTTTTTAAAAAAATACTTTTTAGTTCTAGATGGACACAATGACCTTTGTTGTATTTATTTATTTTTATGTGGTGCTAAGGATCAAATCCAGTGCCTCCCAAGTGCCAGGCAAGCACTGCACCATTGAGCCACAACCCCAGCCCCACAATTAACACATTTTTATAACACTAAAAGTATTGTAGTTCAAGAAATTTATAATCCATTACAAATGAAACCTATAAAACATAAAAAACAAAGATACTAGTTTTAAAAAGCAAAAGTTACTATTCATCAAAGAACAGAATAAAAAGATATACCACCTTTTCCTTACAATAGTATAAAGATTTAAAAAAATATATTAATATATAATACTTGTGAGAATACTTATATGTTACTGGGAGATCTATGTAACTCTTTTGGGAAATACTTTGGTATTTAATAGTAAAAAATTAGAAACAAAATATTAAATACACAACAAGAAAATGGCTAATTGGAATATAACCACCAATGAAAGATGAAACAATTAAAATATTCTTAAAGAAGAATCTTTCATTGCATGATAAAATGTTTCCTTTATATGATACCAAGCATATATAGTAATGATAAATATATGAAAAAAAATGGGTGAAAACACAAAAATTTTAGAAGAGGGTCTCTCTAAGTGATATCTTATACAATGTACATGCACTACTTTTTGTAATTAGAAAACTATTTCTCAAAGCACATTTCATGGAAAACGACTTCCCCCAAAACAAAATACACACACAAACATGTTCTGTTATCAAAGATATCTGGAAAATATGGAGTTAAAGTTACACAATATCTTTAGCTGCTAAACTTCTCAGAGACTCTAAATGCCTAAAAGAAGAGCAGACTATGGATTATTGCCCATACACTTTGAAGGAGAACTCATTATTTAAGAAACATTTCTCAAGATTGGAGTTGGGAGGGGTGGCCCTCTGGGAAACACTAATATATAACCAAGGAACAAGTCTGTAAAGTCTGAAATGTTTACTTGAGTCCCACAGTGGCTAAATTTAAAGTAAAGAAATATTACAGTCCTTAAAATTCTCAAAAAAGTTTTTATTATACAAATTATCTTTTTTAATGAAACTACTGCTTTCTTGAACTTTATGTTTAATAAGATACTCAACGCCTATGAACATAATTTAACCAAAGTTTAAGGAAGAAAATTCTATTTCTTCATTAAACTGGAATATCTATTTTCAATAGTGCCCAGGGAGAAAGTCCTAACATAATAAGAAGAAAAAGCATTTTTCAAAATTAAATTAATCATAATTATGGTTTTTTTTTTCCTTTAGACAAATATTGTCAAGAAAGTGTTCTTTTAGAAATGGCACCGGTTCCATGAAAAAGACTATTTTTCAAAGATATTTAAATAAATGAATGGTTAAAAACTGAGGAGTAATTATAAAAAATTATTCTTGCATTTTTCTCTTCGTTCATAATAGGATAATATATCTCCCCTTTGAACCACAGTAATCATCACAAGTCACTTTCATGTAGTGTGTGAGTTTCAAACCACCGGAGAGCTGGCAATGGCTTGGTGCCACAGGCTCAACAATTTGCTTATTGTTCTCTCTCCCCTTGGTGTGAAGCCACTGTACAGGAGTAGGCCATGATGGTGAGATATGAGTGCCTTAGCTCAGTCCCACCCTTGGCTTGTGGAATTCAAAGAACAAAGCCGTCAGTGTGGCTCAAACAATCTATTTGAAAGTTGATTGGTTCTTATAAAAACAGTATCCAAAATAAAAATCCTTGATTCATTATAACCAGATTCAGAGTTTCTGAATAGTTGAAAGGAGGTCTGATTCATGACAGATTTATTAAAAATTAGAAATGTGATGTCCTAGTTAGAATAATAAATAGGGGAAAAATTAATGAATTAGATTCAAAAGAATCAAGCAAAACTTCATCTTACAAACACCCAACAAATGATGCTATACCTAAATTATGCTTTTAACCAATGCATATATTTTTTTAAACTGCTTCACAAAATAACATGTTATTTAGTTAATAAAATAGCCATGAATGAATTTTCATATTAGTGTTTAATAATGAGGAATTAGGCAACAGAACCAAACTGATAAAATTATTCACACTGCTCACTGTCTTGGCAACTCCTTCAATCACATCTAATATACTAAACTCATAAACAGTCATACAGTAAAGAGTAGGGTGTGTGGTTCATCTTCTATGAGATGAGTTCTATCAAAGTTTCCCACAGCATGGCCATCTTTGGGCCCACTGACCTTAGGACCCAAAAACACTAGGGCACATCATTAATCACTTTAATTGCAAAGTTGTCAATTTGCAAT